TATACCTATACAAAGAAATGGGAAGACAGTTGTCATAATCATCACCACCTCACGAATGAATATTTCTAATAAATATATAAATGTTCCTATTACACCAAACTCATAAATTATAGTACATCTATTCAGTGCACTACAGATTGCAGTATATTTGAGCGTATTACTAATACCATATATGTGTATATACATAGAGCTATTATTTTCCGATTATATTAATCTCATGACCTACATTCAACCAGTGTACGACAAATATTACTGTATTCGCTGATAAAAAATGCATTTAATATAACTATGTTTTAAATATTTGCTATATATGGTGGAATAAGTAGATTAAATTGCACACCATAATCTCAATAGAGTTATCATCATCATCAAAATCTCACAAAGAAATGCTTCTATTATATTTATATATATGTTATTTTCCTATTATACTGACCTCATGATCTACCTATATTGAGTTTACACCAGATGTCGCTAGATGCGCTGATATAAAATTCGTATAAAATAGGTTAAAAGTATATGCTATATACAAAGGAATGAGAAGAGAGTTGTCATCATCATCAAAGGTTCACAAATAAGTGCTACTAATATATATATTGAGCTGTTTTTTTTTTTATACTAATCGCATAACTACAACCAGCTAGTTTAGGGCAGATGTCTGCGTATGTACTCACTTAAAATGCGTTTCATGTAACTGTGTTCGAAGTATATGCTATATATAGAAGAACGGGAAAATTAGAAATTGTATACCATAATGGCAAATGTTTGTCATCATCATCAAAAGTTTACATATAAGTGTTTCTAGTGTATATATAGAAGCTATTTTCCTGTTATGCGCGCTAATCAAATGAACTACATCCATCCAGTTTACGCCAGGTGTTTGTGTATGCGTTCAATGAAATACGTTTAATGTAAAATGTGTTGAAATGTCGATGATTTTTATTGGAGCTATTTATATATGATCTGACCTTTGATTGGTTTTATCTTTTGAAGTTCTGAATAATGTATTGCATTCCACTAAGACAACATTATGGTATAAGGTAGGAGACTATCAAATGGTCTCCAAATCAAAGTTTCAAACTTTTATAAAATTTAATTTCATCTTTTTGGGCTCCAAATAATGTATTACATTCTACTGAGACAACATTATATCGAGGGGAAGGTGGTTAAACTTTTCCACCGTCACAATCGCAGGAGACCGATAAATGGTCTCCAAGTCAAAATTTCAAACTTTTACAAGATATAAAGAAATTTTTGGAAAATATATTTAAAATTATTACTTATTATAACATTATTATATTATAATTATATTTATATATGTTTTTGGGAGGCACCTAAAAATTATGGTGATCCGAGTACCAGTTATGATCGCTTTGTAACTGCTATTATTTTAATCTTAATCGATTATGGTTGCAGTCAGAACCAGTACATTTAGGCTATGCTAAGCAAACGTTAGATTTGATTAGATTCGAAGTTATAGTTATATAGTGAAAGTTTTCCTAAGCAGACACTGATCAGCAGTTATATCCGGTTAAAAGCGTACTTTGTAAGAAAAAATGAAAGCTGGGAATTGACTTATTCACACTGGGGACTAAGAGAAATGTATTGATACACTTGTAATCTGTTTATTTTTTGCCCTCAATAGTGTATTTTATGCTTTATTTTCAGATCGAAATATAAATTTACTAAAATTTTCTTAGCCTTTCAATTCATTATAATTATGAAAAAATTATGTATTTTATTATTTACACTGAAAATATTTTGTGTGATTTATTTATCTTTTGCAGTCACGGTTAGTCACACATTCGAGAGCACCAACCGGCAACTGCACATTTCCAGAAATATCAGCACTTTTATCTGCTCGTTGAATTTATTTTTTCGCTGATTTTTCCACTATCACATCTCCACAAACTTCTGTGGACTGATTTTAAATTTGTGAATATGTGTTTTTTGTCCTTGGCTATATGTTTTAAAATATATAATACGCATTGCAAATATTTTGATAAAAGTTTCGCTAAACTAAATATAATTGGAATATAATCAATTTCTCTGAAGTTGAATCGATTTTTTAAAATCATAAGAGATAGGTATAGGTATAGGGCCCGAACTTTATAGAACTGACGCATAATCAGTGACAAATCACGCTTCGCATATCACGTGGGATGATAGTATGTACTCGTATATGATAATGGCAAAAATAAAAACAATAATTCATATTATATTTATTTTGATAAGCTGGTTGAAGAAAACAAAAAGTTCTTATAATCTTTTTAGTTAAAAACAATAAGTGAATTTAGTCAATAATGTTGAAATTATCATAATAGAAAAAAAGCTGCTATTTATGTTGTGTGTGGTCGAGTTATATGAATTCTTTCAAGACTTTTTATTAAAAAACTGTTATATATATGGTTTAGAGCTAAAGCTGTTATTATGACTATAAAGTTTGTTCATTTATTTATCGCTAACTACCTCTTCCTTTTCTTTAGGTAAGGAATGTTAAGATGTAGTATGAATGAAAGTATTAATCCCAATTCGCAGTGTTTTAGTCTGTTAATGCTAAAGAATTTTAATATTATTATTGTTACCATTACTCAACAAACGTATAACATATGTTGTTGACTTAAGCTCTAATATGGTTTTGTAAAGACAAAGCTTAGTTTTATTTGAAGTATTTGATCTATGAATGATTCGGGTCGCTTTTAAATTAATGTATATTATTGTTTTGCCTTTATATTGTTTTTCCACGTAAGACTACAATCTAGATGCATAACAAGATACTTCACCGAGTTATTTTAAGAAATTACTGAATCATTTAACAAAACCTTAGGATAAATACGAGTTCTTAATGTTAAAGTTATTTGCAGTAGTTTCTGCGGTTTTACTTTACTTTTTTAAACCATGTGCGAGTTCGAGTAATTTGATGGTAAATTGAGGAAAATAGTACATTGTGTCGGCATGGCAGCGATGTTGGTATTTACCAGAGTTTCGAATAGGTCGCCCGTGCGACTCGTGGCATTACGTTCCTAGGTTAGGTTCTATACATAAGAAAGAATATATAAATCATGCAACAAATAATGTCTCTACAAACAGAATAGTGTTGAAATTTAACAATTAAAAATAAAAATAAATTTAATTAATTCAATTATTCTACAGCTGGTTTATGATTTCGTTCTAATATAAATACAGCAAGTGAATTTGTTACTAAAACTTTCATACCAAAGTAACAAAATTCCAAGAAATTGTGCGAACATAAAAGTTGGTTAAGAAGTGCTGACTCTAAGCTTCAAATTTGGCAGAGCATGAGTTCGATTCCTGGTACTTGCAGTCTCAAAAATAATTATTTACGAATAATTAAATACAAGAATTATTTTCAAAACCACTGATGATGGGTATTTGACAATACTTGAAATAGCTGTATAGTCAGTCAAAAATTCAATTAATTAAAATAATATGAAATGAATTTTTGTTGTTGAAGTTCGGTACTGTTCAAACCTCTTGATAAAAACTAAATAAATTGGGTGTTACCATTGTGGACATTTTATGAGATGTTTAAGAAAAAATAAATAAATTTGAATACTTTTAACCAAAAAAAATTAATAAGTGCAATAAATAAATAAATATTTACATGAGGTGCAGTGCAATAAATCCTTCGGAAATTTCAATTATCTTTAGCTCAATATACACGAACTCGCATGCGGCCTTAATAGTAAAATCAAACTTTAGGCTGAGCGCAGACTTTTGATGCTAAGATGGTTCTGACGGTGATAACCTAGACACTATAATAGTTATATCATCAAGAAATGTTGCCACATTTATGTGAATTTAAAACAGGCATATCCCCTGTACATAATTATTTTTTTAAAACATCCTTTATCGAATACGATTAGTTTCTACTGTATTATTCTATCTTATAACTATTGTAAATTGTATTAATGGCGAATCTTTGTAGAGATAGCATTTTTTATTGTGTCTTTTCTTAAAGCTCATAGCAAGAAAATTGATAGTTTTTTAAATTTTGCTTTTGAATTTGATATTCCAATTTATTCTTAATAAAAACCATTCTCTTTTTCTAAGAAATGTTGTGACCCTTTGAAGACTTATAGGTATTTGAAAATATACCCCCTAGAAAAAAGTTTGTGTGTTCCTGAATCCCCCCTCCAATTATAAATAAATCTTGAATAGTATAAATAACGCTACAGTGCGTATCTCAACCTTAGGAAAGTATATATATATATATTATATATAAAATTTTTTTTTGAAGGTAAACCCCAGTACTAACATCTATTTCGCACTAAAAATTGACATAAAACTCTATATGAAAAAGTTTTCTATGATGTCAAAATTATGTGGAAAATGTTGATATGAATTTTTATGTCAATTCCTGTTGCGAAATAGATGTAAGTACCAGGCTTTAGTGTAAACAAAAATTATATTTATTTTTCTATAATAAAAATTTTAATAATTTTTTTAACGATCATTATTGCTATTTTATGAAAATTAGTTCAATATAACAATGTCCATCAGCTAAAGAAAGTAATTTTAAGAAAAACGCATTTAAAACTTTGAATTACCCAAATTTACCAAAGAGACTGTGTCATTATAATGGCTATATCTCCATAACTATTTCGAATGAGAAAAAAATAACAAAAATATTTTAAGAAATATTTTTATATGTTTAAACTTTAAAAAAATACAAACAAAAAAAAAAAATTAAGAAATGTTTTTTCTGGGCGTGAAACCTTGGTACGAGTTTGGACTGGACCTTCCAATGTCCAGTCTATTTGGTTTAACTATTTTCGTGTGATATGGACTTTGTGTAGAGTCTTCTCTATCACCTTTTATAATTATGATTAATTTTAATAACATACCTCTAGTATCCAATGCGATTTCTTACGTTTCTAGAAATCACATATTAAATATGTCTTTGCAAACACTAGAAATATATACTACCTAAAGGAAAATAAACAAAAATTATAATTAGTGTTTATGTTTTTCATTAATAGAAATCGCAGAAGCATCGAACCATATGTTTTCGGAATCAGAGTGGAAAAAAGTAGCCACGAAGTTGAATATGGAGAAAATGGAGTTCCCAGTATGTTGGTCAACACTGAAGCAAAAATTCGCGTGTTTGGATCAGACCTCACAAATTCTACCATTATAGCACTTACTGCGAGTTCAACTGACTGCGAGGTTCTTAAAACGCCACCATTCAGACCTGACGTAATCTCAAGTGATGGAAAGTCAGCATTATACACAATAATGCTTCCAAATGAAAAAAATACTTACTTTATATGTGCGAAAACAGAAACTGCCGATAATTTGGTAAATATATCTCAATAATAATATTTAAGTCTATCATATATTTATTTGCATCTATGCTAGAAAATACTTCTCACACATCAAAGTAAGTCGCCCTGGATGCAACTAGATACATATGAAACCCTGTTACCACTGTGGGTATCTATATTAATTATACTGATCTGCTTGTGCTTCTCAGCACTTTTTTCTGGTTTAAATTTGGGACTTATGTCACTTGATAGAACAGAATTAAAGGTAAGAAAATAAGTCAATACAATAGCAAAGCAAAAAAGTTCTGTTGTAGAATTTATATAACAAATTATTTAATATTTTTTATTTCATAGATTTTACGCAATACTGGTTCTGAAAATGAACGCAAATATGCTAAAAAGATTCAGCCTGTAAGAGATCAAGGTAATTACCTATTATGCAGTATTCTGTTGGGTAATGTCTTGGTAAATTCAACGTTCACCATTCTCTTGGATGGCTTGACTTCTGGTGTTGTGGCTGTTGTATGCTCAACACTTGCAATCGTTATTTTTGGTGAAATCACACCACAGGTTAATCATGATTTTTTTAATTTATTATTTTATATGTCTATATAAGTATATTGTATATATGTTAACAACTACACTAGAATGATTTTTTTTTTTTTTTTTTGATTTTAAACTATTTCATATTTTTCATAATAGGCAATATGTTCCAGACATGGCCTTGCTGTTGGCGCAAAAACTATTTTTATTACAAGAGTAGTAATGCTTTTGACTTTTCCACTTTCATATCCGGTATCGAGATTCTTAGACTTTATTCTGGGAGAGGAAATCGGCAATGTATATAATCGTGAACGCCTAAAGGAACTTGTTAAGGTAAAATTAATATTATTCATTAACGATTGCCATTATACTCAAGCGACTACAAAGACTTTAATGTTTGTAGACTCTCAATACCATTTTAAAAATAAAGAATATTATTAAAGGCCAATAATTAGTTACTATTGTTATTGCAGTACGGTTTGAAATTGTAAGTGACGATTTAGTCGCGGAACAACCAAATCTTCGAGACGTACACACGGCCAATATTTTAAAACGGCTGAAACGGCTGTATTTTTTTAAACTCTGAAACGCGATTTTAACCACAATTTTACAACAGCAGTATCGAATAGAACTTAAAATCAAATAAAAATTATATTTAAATTAATAATAAATCTTACCTATATTATTATTGAAAAGAAGGGATCGTGCGACCTAAATGATCTATTGTGTCCCTCAGTCTATTGTGTATTAAAGTATTTCTCTAAATCCAAATTCCAGGCATTCTCCAAGCACATGGTATGCAGTTTCTCTCTCTTCTCTACAGTATCTGCAGTCTGAGTTGGATTATTCGAACCTAACTTCGATAGGTGATTATTCAATCTACAGTGACCGGTCAATAATCCCGCAAGAATTTTTAAGTTAAAATCTTACCTATAACACATTAAAAATCAAGGTTTATAGATAATCATTAAGTTTAATATTTTAATTTATTTATTTTTAATAAATAAAAAATTATTTTAATTCATTATTAAATAATTAAATTTAATTAATTAATTAATAATATTAATTTAATTATTAAAACACAAATCGTTGCTGAAATTCACCCATAATACCATGTTTCCACTTGTATCATTTAGGCAGTCTTGGTCATTAAGTCCGCTAATGAGGTTAATATACCACATAAAGAGCTTGCATATAAATGAGCTCATTATAAATAAATCCACTGATTTAAGGCAGTTATCTAACATAACTGTAATGTTAGAGTGGCCACCCGATTGACGGCTCTCGGGGATCATGAATCTAGAAATGTAAAAAATGCTTTGTTGTTGCGTTTAATTTGAAGAGATTTATAGTGGTGATTAACTGATGCTTCCAGATTAATATATATCGTTTATAACATACGTTCTTGTAATATTTGAAATTACCACCAATATATTTCGTTTGAAGAATAAGATGTTAAAAGTAACATTTATTCCTTGATATTAGAGTTGGATTTCATTTTAACTCACGAAAAGAATAAAACTGAATAGTTCTTACTACCACATTTTGAAATTTATGCATTTCGTATGAATTATTGGCAATCAAAATTTTAAATGTGATAATATTTTAAAATCGTTTTGTTTGTTTAAAACAGCTTTAATTAATTACTTGGAATTCTGTTGCAGGTCACTACAGACATAAATGATTTAGATAAAAATGAAGTAAACATTATATCCGGTGCATTAGAGTTGCGTAAGAAGACTGTTGCTGATGTGATGACGCACCTAGACGACGCATTTATGCTGTCCTTAGACGCCATACTTGATTTTGAAACAGTTTCTGAAATTATGAAGTCTGGCTTTTCACGCATTCCCGTCTATGATGGTGACAAAAAAAATATTGTTACATTATTGTACATAAAAGATTTGGCCTTTGTGGATACCGATGATAATACACCATTAAAAACTCTTTGCGAGTTTTATCAAAACCCCGTGCCTTTTGTTTTCGAAGATTACACGCTCGACGTTATGTTCAATCAATTCAAAGATGGAACAATTGGACATATTGCTTTTGTACATCGTGTCAATGATGAAGGTGATGGCGATCCCTTCTATGAAACCATTGGTCTTATTACACTAGAGGATGTAATAGAGGAATTAATTCAAGCTGAAATTGTTGATGAAACTGATGTATATGTTGATAACCGTACAAAAGTACGACGCAATCGTAATAAGAAGCAAGACTTCTCTGTATTTGCAGAACGCCGTGAAAATCAAGCCATACGAATTTCACCTCAATTAACTTTAGCTACGTATCAGTACTTAACTACAGGTAAATACTTATTATCAAAGATACTTTACATGAAATTAAAAAAAATTTTATAATGTTTATATCATTGCTTTAGCTGTGGATGCCTTCAAAAAAGAAGTTATATCCGAAAATATATTGCGCCGTCTACTTAATCAGGATATAATCCATAACATTAAATGTAAAGGAAAAGAAAAAGACGATCCTAGTCTTTTTATATATCAACAAGGAAAACCTGTTGATTTCTTTGTACTTATACTTGAAGGACGCGTGGAAGTGACCGTTGGAAAGGAAAACTTACTCTTTGATAGTGGTCCATTTACGTATTTTGGTACTCAAGCTCTTATTCAAAACGTTGTTATCGGTAATTATTGTTAAATAATAATTTAGATCATATTTAGAAATATATATAATGTATAACACAAATGTAGATTCTCCAACCCAACCACAATTTATTGGCTCACTACAGTCTTTAAATATGGATGCAAAAATTCGTCAAACTTTTGTGCCTGATTATTCTGTGCGCTGTGCAACCGATGTTATATATATTGCAATAAAGCGCAGCCTTTACTTCACTGCCAAAAAAGCAACTCTGTTGGAAAAATCACGAAAGGCAGGTTCAGATCCAAGCGGTGACGTGGATGATGAAGTTGAAAAGGTAAGTTCCGCTCTAAATTATTTGTTTAGATTAAATAAAGAAAGTCATTTGAAGACAAAGCTTTTAACGCATCTGAAACAAACTTTTCTATATTTAAGTTTTAAAAGTAAAGCATATAAATGATCTACATAATGTAAAAAAAAGACCCAAGTATGGAACGTTCAACTGTAAAACTTTCAATGAAACACATTATATTAGATCAAAAATAATTCAATAACGCAAAATCAATTTTAAAATATCAAAAAATTAAAGAAAACAATGTGAGAGGTAAGCGGATTAATTTTTAATTGAATCTTAAGTGATGCGAAAAGAATCTATTATTTTATCGTCAATTATATAAATTAGAATTTACTAATTATTTATTTGAATATTTCTCATGATCTGCTTATCAGTTCTAAAAACTATTCATATTAAATGAATTAGCAAACCGCTGCAACTATTGTATTTCAATATAAACAAAGCACTTATATTTAATTTTTAACTAACTTGCTTTCCTATAAGTAATATATATATTATAAGGTGGGTTTTAAAATAAACACGATTATTTTTAAAAAGTGCATTTCGAATGAGGAAATCAAGACCTCACTTGAGGTCTGGAGTTGGTAAGGTGAATATTTTACTGTTGTATTGAAAGAATTTCATGATATTTAGACAAGTAAATGTGAAGTTATTGAATTAAAAGTGACAATCTTACAGAATGTCCCGCTCACTACAAATATCTAGTTATGTTGTTGTTATAATCCGGTGACATCTGGACAGCAAATAATATGTAAGATTTTACAATACAAACACATGAGTTGAGATGTGAATTGGTAATGGTTGCACTCCTCTTTATAAAGAGGTCTGGTTACTTTAAAACTCATCTTGTTTAACTATATATTGTTGTTTTAACTCATATGCAAAAGTTGTTGATCAGAAATATGAATAAATTACAATGCAAGAAAATTATGTTAGTAAAGAAAATATAGGGAGATATGGAAATGAATAAGAATAGCTCAGTTTAATTAGGCTCAAATAAAATGTGTATACCTGTAATGTATACACTTCTCTAAGTTTTTTGATATGAGCAAATCAAATCTAATGTGTTAATTTTTCGAGCGAGAGAGCTGAAAATAGTTCAAAGGGATCTGCCCCATTTGTTTAAATGGAAACTCCAAATCAAAAAATAACGCACAATATTATTAATAATGAATATATAAATACTAAATTTGGTTGGAATTATTTTTATTAATAAAGTAGTACAGATGTTTCTACGGAATCAAAAAATTTATAATAATTTTTATACCTAAACAATCTTTTTAACATTTTTAGTTTATCATATTTCTTTTTGTAGTTAATAAATTTTAAATTTTACTTTATGATCTTATATATATTGATTAATTTATACTTAAAATTCTTCTTTTTATTTGAATTAGCTTTTGCACTCACTTAACGAAAACGATAAACATACTCGTAGCAGTGCACATAAAACATCTGTCCGTAATGGAAGCAACACGGCTTCGCCTTCATTAAACGTAAGTAACTACATTAACTTAATTATTAATAATTATTTTCCATATAAAGTATTAGAAGAAAAGTTTGTAATGAAGGCAAAATTAAAATTTAATCAAAAATTAAATTAAAGATTAATTTATAACAAATATATACATAATTAATATTCAGAACAACGACATACAAAAACCATCCTTAAAGTTTTGTTCAATATTACAGCCTAGATTTGGATTCCTCCTATACAGAAATTTTCCCAAGGCAATAAACACAACACATATGATTTCACCTAACTTTTTTATTTATGGCTTCAGAAAGGTTTTCTTAAGTTACCCAAATATAAAGCGATTAAAAAATTAGAACATTTTTCACACCAGAAGATAATACGAGTATATGTCTTTCAAACATTGTTAGCTGTCGCTGTAGGAAAAATAAGAAAAGTGCTTTACATCTGCTCTGACACTATCCAATGTATATAAGCCACTGTGGACCTATGCTTCGCGCAGTTGTCTAACACATTTAATAAGTAAATGTACATATAGTAAAGTGTATATATAAAAAAATGTTTGTATGTCTTTATATAGATATAACCGGATATTTAAAAAAAAGTGCTTTAAATTTATTCCTATATAACAGGCTAACAGGCTTAAATGAATCACTGTAATTACCGTTATAACCTTAAGCAACCCATTCAGTTTATAAAAAATATTTTTAAAGCTTTTAAATTTTGTTTATTTGTATTATTTAATCAAATATATTAAATAGTTGCATCAAATTTTGCATCAAGTATCTTTCAAAAACTCTTCAGATAAATCAATCAGTGTCAATTTTCAATCAATGTTCACTTCCGTATATATAATATATATACAGATTTTCCATTTTGTGATTCCAAAAATAAATGTGAACACCCTTGTTTGTGATTCAGGTTTAGGTCAAATTTTTATTTACAATATATTGTTTGGATCTTGTTATTAGATGTAAAATACAACATCATTGAAATATTCTTCATGGAACATTATATACAGTACTGGATTCATTTCAAAGTAATTCAAATGTTTGTTCTTAATGTATTTTCAAAGCGTTAGGTATTTGAGGATTATCACCATAAGCAGGATCTTTTGCATAACCTTACAAAAATGGTCCTATAGCTAGTTCACATTACCAAAACTTTAAATTACAAGACTGTTGTACTTTTTGGGCAAGACTGTTGTAGCGTACCGTTCTATTGAAACACTATATCTTCTATTTACATATCCACAATTTCGCGCAGTAGTGTTCATAATTGTAAACATACCACAGTTACAAACCAAATGTCAGACGATGTAATGTGAATGTGTAACGTTTGTGTGCATTTGTATTAAAGGTTTCAATAATAAAAAATCGATGTCTGGTTCAAGTCAAAGCCACAACATTATATGGATGCAATGGTCTTATCATCGTTACTTGTAAAAAACACTTCTTGTCTACGCCCATAAATTACTTATTGTCTATTTGTATTAAAGCTTAACAGTAATAGAATATATAGCATAGAATAGAAATAAATTTGGTACAAGCTCCCAGATTGATCTGCAACTGACCCTAACCGAAAGAGAGAGCAGCCCTCCTCCCAGTGACCTCCTCCTTGCCAAGATCAAGACTGGGCAGTCACAGAGAATGTGGCTGGTAGTCTCGTCTGCTTCTAATCAGAGTCGACACTCCGTCTCCTCGCAGTCCATGGTGACCCGTTAAATATCCTACCAGCAATCTCAAGTCTGATCTGCTAAGGAGGGATGTCTTGCCATATGGCTGAACCAGCTCTTTAGCCTGACCAACTTAATCCACAATAGGGTTCCGGTCCACAGATTTGAGTGGCAGAATCTGCCCTTGCAAGACTGTCAGCAAATTCATTACCATTTACTCCTGTGTGACCAGGCACCCAGCAATGCGTCACTTTGTTTTTGCTTGCTAGCTGCTGCAGCACATCAAAGCAGTCTAATGAAAGCTTTGAGAAAAACCTCCAAGAGGATAGAGCTTTGATTGCTGCTTGACTATCTGAGTAAATACAGATGCGGGCGCCTTTCAACCCGTTGTTTAAATTGATACGAGCGCAGACCTCGATGGTGTGAACCTCCGCTTGGAAGACAGTGGGCCATATACCCAGCGCGAGCGAGATTCTGGTGTTAGGACCAAATATTCCAGCACCAACTCCTTCTTTGGTTTTTGAGCCATCAGTATACCATGATATCACTTTTGGTTCAAATCCAGGAGTGCCATTTACCCAGTCCAGTCGATCGGGTATGAGGACTTCGAACTTCCTACCGAAGCGAAGTTCCATGTTCATGCGATCTGTCCTATCGCAGATCTCTATGCCAGGAACTAGTCTGCAGATAGAGTTTTGACTGACGAGACTTCCGTGCATGTCGATGACAGGGTGTAGCCTAGCTGCACTCATAGCTGCTGTCTTTTTAATGAAGATGTGCATATATTAATACGATTTAAAAAATAATTATAATAAATTAAGGATATAGTTAGTTGAATATTTATTTCACTTTTAAAATACTATTTTATTATAATAATAATATTATATTTTTTATATAAATGAGTGTGAATTAATCAAGTTATTGCATTTTTCCAGGATATTTCACAACATAGCCGTAGTATGAATGCACTTGGCGTCGGTTTCCCAAATGCCGCACAACAAAACTCACAAGGAAGCAATAGTGCAGATATTATTGATGTTGTATCATTGAGTAGCCAAGTAACCTCAGACCCTATGCACGATTTAAACCTTATTGAACAGCACGAGGATGCGGAAAAGGAAACAACACTTACCACCACTACAACGCCACTCCTTCCAAAACCAATTCAATTAAAATAACAAGAACTGCAATAACAGCCGCCAATGCTGTTAACAAATAAGCTTACTTATGCCCAAATAATAGAACAAAAAATCGTTGGATAAAAAATATAATGTTAATAAATAGTTATTTTAAAATTTCAAATAGCAAAAATAAGATCAAAATCTAAAATATATTACTCTTCCATCGACTTTTAAGCAAATTGAGCTAAATAAACGTACAATGTACAGCATATCCAACCGTCTGGAGTGGTCAGGTTTTACAATTCTGAGCCTAAAGTTCTTGAATACCAAAAATCACAACTGACAAGTATAATTGAAAAGCAATTTTATAGACATATTTTAACTAGAACAGAAATTACCTTGTGTTGATATATATATATTTCTTTGAAAAATATATATTTAAAAATCTTATTGCGATTTCTTCCGTTTACTTACTTAAATGAATCATTTAATTTATTACTTATATTTGATTAATTATAGTTACAAAAAGTTTATTTGATATAATCAAAAACTATTGACTTAATATGTAAGCTTTAATGTATAAAAAAAACCAACAAATATTAAAATAGGAAGACAGAGAACTTTATTAAAAACAACAAACACAATATAACATAGTTATATGTTATAAAACAATAATTACAAATTATTGAACGATAAAAATTTATAAAAATTTAACAAAGAATTCAAAATAAGTTAATTAAATTAAAATTTAAATTAAAATTAATATTACAATTACAATTACAATTACAATAATGTAACGAATTATGTGAGAAAATTTTATACCTCAGCACTGTACATTGAATGTGTACAAAAGCAAAATACTTAAAGTACTTAAATTAAAATTAAAAATTTATATTATTATAAAAAAATATGTGCTATTACCGAGTGAAGATAATGGTGAAATTATTAATTTTTGAAATATATACAGTATATACAAATTACATAATATTTGAGTAATATAGTGTAATGTATTTATAAAAGTAATTCCCATACGTATTTAAAGTATTTAAAAAAAAAATCAAATATTTTTTATTGCAACAATAAAAATAAACTTGCTTTGCCTTATTTCGCTTTAAAAAACAAAAAAAAAAGAGCTAGATTTCAATTATTTAATTTATTCCTATTAAAAAAACTAACTTAGATTATAATGAATTAAAATTATAGCTAAAATCAATATTAAAATGCGTTTGCTCAAAAAAGCAAAACAAAAACAAAAAAAAAAAAAAGAAAATACAAATAGAATTATAGCCATTATCTTCATTATAAATATAAATTTTAAAGTAATTTATTTATATTAAAGTTAAAAAATGCGTTTATTAATATATAAAGTATATTTACATGAAATACATGTATTCGTAAATAAGTAGAAGTATATACAGAGTATAAACTTACTGGTATTATGTTATTCGTTTTTGTTACATATTATTCACAAATGCTACGTAACGTATTAAGTTTAAGAAAAAAAGAATTTGCTGATTTTAATTGTTTTCATTAATGTTTTAAATTAATTGTAATAAATCTTTTATCATTTTATTTAAATAAAATAAATATAAATATTTATCTAGTTAAAAACTGGCTATTGAAATTGAACATTTTTTGTTGTTGTAGTTTACTACTATTGTGAGTGACCGACTCGCACGAACTAAACCCCTTCCTCTCATTCCTAGAGAGTCTTGTCCTACCCCGGGACTATGTCAGGATTACTTTGAGGTACGATCCCTATTAGTCATTTAAGACTGCCATCGGTATGACCTGCGTCCAGGCTCCGTTCTTGCTGCAGGTGATTAACCTTGCCTTTCGTCTTGGTGTGATACATCTGCTTACTCCAGCTGTCTTCTGTCAAAATCTACTTTTTTTAATCTCAGAATCTTTTCAACAAACATTTTTACGCGATCCCAGTATGTTTTGTTTTCGGTCAGTTTTTTTATTACCGTTCTTGGAGAGAAAACTCCAACTTGCGCTGCCGATGCTTCTCGTTCGGGCAACCACTTTTGCACTCAAAGAATGTGTATCCTGTGGTATCATCCTCAGCTCCACAATATATGAAATTTGTTGACTCTACTTTGCGCATGCGGTAGAGAACCTCTCTATTAATTATAATAGTTTCCGCACTAATACCCCATTTTGCAACAGGGAATACAAGATTTATTAGGCTATTGAGAAGCCTAATGAATCTCCTTAGTTTCTAAAATTCAACACTGTGTGCTGTTAAATGTAGTACCCATTAAATGGCAATCACAGAACACGAGCAGTTAAGATTGGAAGATATTTCATTCTCCATTTTATAAAATCTACAGTTGTCTGGATACATTAAACTCTTCTTAAAAAAAGCAAGGCGTATATACAGTCAATACAGAGTAATTAATTAATCTGAATTTAGATATTTTTAGACTAACGAACTTATTAATATTTTTATTGTTAATATTCTATACGGTTTCTGAATACGGTTTAATTAGATAAACTCAGCTCCTGTGGACTGGCTTTTCTCAGTTATTTTATAAAAACTGAAAAATCCAGACGAGTTTTGTTTACCTTTTATGACTGATTCTGATAATCTGCAGTAGCAAGAAATAATCATATTATCTCTTTACTAAAACAAGCATATGTATATAAACTAACACCCGGATTTGCGTCGCTTCGATTTGCATTGAATCGAATTGCGTAGGCAAAAAAAAAAATTTTGGTTTCGAATTGCGTCGTTTTCTAATACATGCGTACAGAGGGGACTCCCATTTTATTTCTTGTAGGTCAAATTTTTAAAAGGGGATTTACATGTATTAAGTTTTTAGTTAAAAGATGTCAGTTTACATTTGTGTGGTGAAGTGGAAAGGTAATTTTCTGCTTTGAGTCAAAATGAAAATAAATTTCTTTGGAACAAAAGTTGGAAATTTTAAAACGTTTTAAAATTGAAGAGAAACCTGCTGATATTGGAAGAATTCTATGTGTAACTCCAACTACTGTAAGAACAATTTGTAATCGTGATACGGACTACATTAAGGACTATAAAAAAGGTGTCACACATTTGCAGACCAAACAAGTTACAAAAAATAAAAGTCCATTAATTGTAAAAATGGAGTACCTTCTATCCATTTGGTTAGAAAATTAGAAACAAAGATGAATGCTATTGAGCCAAATTTTAATTCAGAATAAAGCTATGTCGATATTCAATGAGTTAAAAGATAATTCTCCACCAACTGGTGATCAAAAACCAGAATATTTTTGAAAATTAAATATGTGAATAAATGTGACTCAATTTGCATTGTTTCGATTTGCATCGCGGTTTGTCGGTCTCAAATAACGACGCAAATAGGGGTTTTAGTGTACCTATATGCCGGTTGTTCGAGTGATAGCGATAGTTTTTTATATAATTTTTTATATATATTAGAATATAGTTTTTTACTAGAAAATAGTCCAAAAAGCAGGTTCTTAAAAGCGATATGCATTTTTTACTTATGTTCGTATGCTCCTTTGGATAGGTTCAATGAATGAGAGTTCAAATAATATTTATATAATATCTACTGCTTCATATCAATATGAAAGTGTTTATAACTTGACATCGATATTTTTCCAGGAAAATAACACATAATATGACAGTCATAATTTAAATAGATAAATTTAGCAGTTTTGTTTAAAAGGAAAATTATTACATTTGTTCATATCTTTAGTTGATTATGCTATATTGTAGTAACACAGCTTCTATACCTATATTTTGTGCGAGTTCGGTGGAAATCACGACCAGATTATATAGTAATGTTCGGCAAAAGGGCTTAAACTGATTTAAATAATATCGCAAGAGGAATATCCGTTTAATAGGGATGTTACTAGAATTTTGAGCAGTTTTCATTATATATAGATTAATTAATTACAGTATAAAGAATAAATTAAAAATCTTATACATATTGAAAGAAAAGCTGATCTAGTTTAAATAATTAAAATGAAGGTTTCTTGCGGATTTAGTTTGTATTATAATTTTTATTTTTAAAAACTGAAAATGCCTTTCCATTTGTTTATTAATATTAAAGTTTTTTTATCGAGTTCTATAAAAAGTAAATGTATCAAGTTGACTATACTGATTCCAAGATCTTCAGTAATGATTGTCGATTACTAATTATAAATTAATTCTAAATAAAGAAGAAGAGAAGTACTAAATCAGATATAGGGAATGTTCTGTGTTATGAATGTAATATATTAAAAATACAATATCAAAATAATTTTTTTTTTAATTTATTATTTCAAGGTTGAATTACATTTAATTTATGAATTTAAGGTTTATCTTGAGTAGTTTTTTTTTTAAATCTGCTCTTGATTAACATTTATGAAGTTCTTTAGTTTCTTACAAATTTTATTACATTTATCTATATTTTTTTTTCTTTTTTTTTTTTTTTTTGAGCACATGTATTAATTTTATAAATATAGAAAAACTTAATTTATTTCAAAGAACATCAAACAAAAGCACATACATATGTGTAAGTTTTTTTACTATGAATTATAGCAGTATACTCTATACAGATGACAACTTCAATGAGCAACCGCAACGGAATCCACAGTTCTAGGAAGTCCAATCAGCTCAAATTTTGTGGTTGTTTAAAATCTATTCTATGTTTTTACATATACAAGCAGCCTAGCACTAACATCGAATTTGCATTAAAAATTGACATTAAACTCCATATGAGAAAAATGTTTCAGAAGATTTTTACATTATAGAAAATTTATTTATATGGAGTTCTATGTGAATATTGCGTGCGACATAGATGTTAATACTAGACCTATCTCATAAAACTTTGGATATTTTGTTTATTATCTGCGCGGAGCAGAAGTCTTTAGCATAACATTAAGCCTGGATGACCATATCTACAAGTAAGTTAATTATATTTTTTCTTTAGATTAGTGAAAATACACAGTTAAAGCATTAATAAGCTTATATAAAACTGAACTTTAGCTTTATTTGTTTCATTAAGAACAAAAATATTTCCTGCACTTCATTTTATCAAAAAAAAAAAAATTAAACTTAAGCGTACATTAAAGTCTATAAATTCAAATTTAAAATTAAAATTTTCATCTATCCAAAAGTGTCTCCAATTTTACAGAAAAAAAAAGTTGGAAACATATTCTTTGTAACATACCTGACAGACGCAAACTCACCCAAAAATTTAAACAGCTATGGTATGCATGACCTCGAGTAAGCAGTTCATTAAAAATGTATGTAAGGGATATTCACGTTCTCGAGTAACAAACTCGATAATCGAGTAACACAGTAATACTGCAAATTGCCAAGAATATAATATACATATGTACTCCAAATCTATTTTGTTGGTGCCGTTTGGCACTGTTACTCGGTCCCTAAACTCGTTATGCGAGATCGTGAATACCCCTATAACTCTGTTAATATAGTAACAAGCTTGTGCTACTGTGTTACTCAGTTAATAAACTTGTTATTCAAGAACGCGAATACCATCCATTACCGATTCTTACGAAATGTACCAAAAATTGATTCGTCTCTTCAGGACTTTTTCACATTTTTGTTAATTGCAATAATTCAGACTTATAATTTGTGATAAAAAAAATTTAATACAAAATTTTCAAAAAATTATTGAAAAAGTACTAAAAGCAAATAAAGTCTTACTTTTTTTCAAAAACTGTACTTACTTTCAGTTATAAAAATTTATAATTATTTTAATTTTTTTTTAATATTTGTAAATAGTTTTAGTTTTAGATAGTTTTAGGGAATTTCTTTATTAATATTATTTTCATTAATAGATACTCTTTAGCTATTAACCCTGATTATAATAATGTTTCTCTTTATAATTTTGGGTAATAATTACTATTTATTAATTATACCTTACGCATTCAACGTATAATAAATGTATTTGAATTTAATCGATTATCTGTTAGTCCCTTGATGTATCAGATCGCGAAAATGATGATCCTCCACGTCGATTCATTTGGCTACTGTTGCGCGTTGGTGATATAGAAGACATATCGTAGCGTTTTTTCTTTGTATAGCTTGAAGAATCATCGCGACTATTGCATTCATTGTCATTGTAACGATTGGAGATAGACTGTCCATTTTCATATTGTCCACGTTCGTTAAATTTTAGATGCACGTCGCGTGTATTTCGTGACTCTTTTGGTAGAGAACTAGACTGACTGTCACTACGTGAACGCGAATGGCGCTCGCGTGATGTAGACTTGCCATCGCGTGATGCAGTCGAATGTGAACGACTGCGTGATTCGCTTCTGCAAATATATATAATATACATATTAAACATTGAATAAAGAAAAGGGATTATAATAAATATAAAAATTTATATAGTAAAAGAAATTACATTTAAGAACCTTAAAATAATAAATTGATGGCAAATTCGATTGGTGACTCTGGATTCAATCCAGAATTACGCTTGATCTGTCAAATTTTGTTTCCCAATCGCCGTTTTTAGAGTAATCGAAAATTTTTCAAATTTCGTTAATGGGTATTTAAATTTTTTGCACCAATCAGAAATGAAAATTACACTAAAAGAGAAACTCGATTGAAAAAGTCACCCCAGATTTACTAATCGAAAACAGCATAAATAAATATACAGTCAAACCTATATATCAAAGTCGGTGGTGCCTGCAAAAAACTTTGTTATAGAGAGGTCTTCGTTATAGAAAAGTTTGACTGTATGTCCATTTAATAGATAACATATATTACATATATTAACATACACTTATTTTATTGTTTAAATATATCTTAAAATTATTAAATTAACAGAATTAACAGAATTATATCATTTATTGTTTTATTTGGTATATAAAAATAATTTAGTATATCAGATGAAAACCAATTTCTGTGATATGATAATAAACTTCGTGACAACTTCGTAACAATTTACTTGTAAAACCATTGATCCATAAGCCAAAGAATAATCTTGAAAAGGCGGTATTCTCTCAGTTGCAAAAACAATATAATTTAGAAACTGGAAGTCAATGACTATTGACATATAGACATAACAATAAGTGGTTAATGAAACTAAAGTTCTCTCAAATTGCAACATTATTTGGTCCATTATTTATAGCAAGCAAGCATTTACACAGCGGGATAAATTAGGTGTTATTCAATAAAAGTCCTTAAAACCTTTACTCGGTACACAAAACACTATGTTAAAATTAAACTTAAACTTTTCCTATAACATAACCCAATGCAAAATACTTGTCATCCCGGGTGATCTATATAACAGGAATCATGAAAGGAATTACAAATACGAACATATGAAATGAAATATGAGAAAGTAAAGGCAAAGTGCGAAAAAAATGCGATTGTTTAGGATAGTATATGTAGGAAAGAATAAGTGGGTTTTAATTTAATCTAGTCTGATTCAGGGAAATTCAATGGGTCGAAGCCAACTACGCAAAATAGGATCTACAACAGCAGGAATATGTTGTATAGTTTTCTGTAATTTTTTACTGTAAAATATTGAGACAAAACCTGTCCTCATGAATTAATTATAGTGACTCCCAGAAACGAAAAAAATCTTATAAGAAAATCTATAATTTCCCTTTATAGAAATTCTAATATTTCAGAAACCAACTTATTTGAAATTTTTAGGTTATACATATATTGATGTTATTCGTTATATAATAAAAAATATTTCATTTAGTATTTAATTTATATTATTAAATACTAAATATAAAAATAGAGCAAATAATAAAATTTAATTTTCAGATGATTGTGTTAATAACATGTTTCCATATGGATGAAATACAACTTCCACGTGGTATAAATACATAAAATTCTTTAAAGTATTAAAAATTTACCATAGAGTCTATAATATACCAATCTTACTCATCGACCTTTTTTAACCAAGAAGAGTTTAACCAACCTCTTCCAGTTTTGTGACACAAATTAATTCATTGTTCGATAACAAGATTAAGTCTACAATCTTACCTTGAGTAAACTGAAAACTAGTGTGGGAATGCCTTCTATTTCTCAAAGACCTTGCTGAAAGGAACAGGATTTACTTAATATAGATCCCGGGGCACAGCGGGATCGAAGAAGAAAAAACAGCAGAACACATTCTGTGTCACTGTGATAATCTCGATAGTCTCGGTACTTATCCACTTATAACGGAATTTGGCAACATCTCACCAAAGGACATAATGGCGTTCTTAACTGCTATATATATGCAAATTTCAGAAATTTGTAAAGAAAATTTTAATAATGCTTGTCATATATATTTGTTTATATATATTTTACAAGTTGAAAGCCTTTGTTGTTGTTCTTATTGTTAAAGGAATTGCAAAGGGTGGGTGTTGGTAGTTTGACAGGAGAGGGAATCGTTTAGAAGTAGGAATTGATTGGGAATGGATGGGATTTGAGATCATCCTGAGTCAAAGCGAAGAAACCTAACCACTTTAAAGAAGGGCAGGTCCAAAGACACTGAATTTCAGTGTGCGTATTGGAACATGAAAACAGAAGGGCGATATTATGGAGGGTAGAGCTACAGTGTGGGCGCACATTGATAATTCCCAAAAGAAAAGGCTTATTATAATCAAGCTTTTCATTTTAAGTTACATGTAATAAAAAAAAAAGAAAATATTTTAATTTATTATAAAGATTAAATTAGAGAAAATATATTTGAATTTAGAATACAGATTTTTTAATATTTAAAAAGTTTTTATTATAATTTGAATTGATTTTATAAAAAATATTTATGAAAGTAATTTTGAATTATACTTAAAAACTATTAAGTAATAATGTATATTGTGAGGACTAAGTTTTCCTTCATTTCATCAAATTAGTTACTGAATAAAAATTGTATATATAAATAAAATATCTATATAACTTGTGTTAAGAGGGAATTCAATGCATTAAGTTTATTTTAAATATTCTTTATTTTGATTTTATGAACAGTTTTTAATAATAGCTAGAGGTATTATTCACTTATACATAAATAATGTACAAAAACACTTAAAATTAATGAAGTAAAATAATAAAAAAAAAACAGTGAAAAGAATATCATATTCTACAATCAGCATATTAATTCTATAAGAACCAGCTACTGTATAAATTTGTAAGAGAAACGTTTATTTTTTTATATCTTTCAAAGATTGCACACAATCGAGAAAACAAATCTCAAGACTTTACAGATATCGCACTAAATTCTAATAAACACCAAGATGTGCATTTTAAATGAACGTTCTTAGTTCTTTAGTACACTGTTGTTAGGCAGCGCTAGCAATTAAAATTTTAATAATTATGAATATTCATTATTAAGCAATTTTACCGAGTATTACAGCACTCGAAAGGTTGTAGTAGAAGAGATTTATCCAAGACAACATGCGTTTAATACAATATTGAAAGATGTAAAAAAAGTAGAACGAACATAAAATTCTTTTTAGAAGCTTTGTTGAGGTCCTACGCTACTCATTTGGAAAAATCTGTAGAAAATAGTCATTATCTTCACTGATTTTTAACTTAATACAAAGTAATAATTATGTCTATCCATAAAATACAACTTTTTTTTTAGACATTTACACTTTATATGTTAAATCTTTTAGTCTGAATCAGATTTTTTTGATTTTTTCTTCGCTGGTGCACTTTCAGTTTCTGGCGCCGCTTCATCTTTACGTTTATTTTTTTTCTTCTTCTTTTTCTTTTCTGTCGTAACTTCTGCAACTTCTTCTTCCGCAACTACTGAATCTTCAGCTGCTTTTGAAGATGTTGCAGCTTCTGTATCATCCTTATCTTCTTCATTTGCATCTTTGTGTTTGCGCTTACCTCCTAGGGTAAAGTCGAGTTCAGGTTTATAAGTGTACACTTCACTGAAATTGCAAAAAAAAATTATATGTGAGTATAAGGTTTTATAAATAAAAACATATAGTTCAAGCAGTTATATTTTGCTAATATCAGACAGCCAAGAGTATTCAGCACTGAAATTATATTCAGACAATTGCGAAACCTTATAGTAATCATCATGTTAGCCAATATATAACGTTTAAATAATGTAATACATATTCAACTAACCTCTTTGCTTGGTATTTTTCAAATTTAGCCTTTGCTTTACCGGTTCCAGATAATTTTCGTAAATTGCCTTCCTCTAGTAAACGCAATCGTGATTCCAATTTTACCTTATGAGCCGCTCCCAGTTCAAATGAGGCTTCTTCACCGAAAGCATCAACACGTGTTGCAAGTGAAGACTTTGCAGCTAGTGAACGGGACATTTTGCCTTTATTTTTTAAACTGGCCTGACCTACTAAATTTGCATGATAAATAAGACCATATTTTGGTGTATCCTTTTTCGTTTTAAGCGCCCGGAACAACGCTTTTTCTGCGCCTAGAATTTGTACAGTTGAAGATGGATGTTTTGCAAGATTGATTAGTGAACCAGCATGAGCTATGAGCCTCGCGCCTACAGTTTCACCAACAAGTATTGTTAGATTGGGTGCCATCGCCATCATACGGGTCTTTAAGTAATCATACAAATGCGTGCGATAATCATTAATTGAAATAATTTCATCACAGAGACACTGTATGTTTATTATATCTTCTTCTGAAATCTCTGTACCCATTGATATTTCGGCAGCTTCCTTTACTTTCTCCTCGACATCTTCAGGCAATATATCGGACAAGTCAATTTGTATCATATTTTCACGTGTACCAACCAATTTAATAACCTTCACAAAAGCAATGTTATCAGTGATTAACTTGCCTAATTCAGGAAAATGCCAGCCATACCACTCTCGCACGCGCATTATATAGTTATTAAGCTCCTTATCAAGATCATCAAGTAAGCACTGTGCCTGCACAATCATGGTGTCGATTTTATCAGGAGAGAATTTTAATTTATAACGTGAGAGCGAATGTGCCAAACCAAGTGCCATAGCAGTTATTTCACGTTTGGGCATTCCAACCAAAAGACTATCCGCCTGTTGTCGTATACATCTCATGAGTTCCTGAACGCTATTATTATACACACATTGTACAGCAAACTTGTCCCTTATAGAATTGCCAAGTTTAGCATCGGCCACCAATAGCGATGTCTGTAGATCATCGTTGACCAATTTCTTGAGCGTCTTTTTCAACGGTTTCGAAACTTTACCTTCAACAGCCGCAGTTGCAGCAGCAAGTGCTTCAGTTGTGTCATTGAATTTTTCAAAATGCTGCAACTTTAGCAGCTTACCTGCCTTTTCAGGAGTCTCAAACTCAAGATAAAGATTATCTACCTTTTCCAACTTTTTTTCATCCAAAAGTTTGAATATTGCGTACCCCGCGGGTGTTTCGTACAAAACAAGCATGTTTGATATGCTTATAAATTCATCAGTTTAATATACTTTTTTGGTTATAATAAAAATTTCCACAAACGTTGACAACACGCCAAAACCCAACTACACGCTGCCGAAGTTAATTCAAAATGACTGCCATGACCAAAAACACGTGCATGTCAAAGTGACATTCACCACATTCGCCATTCACAAAGTGTCATAATTTGTAAAGCGACCTCTGGTTTTCACTTTTCATACAATTGACATATTCGCGCAAGTTGCCAGTTTTAAACTGGCCCAGAAGCAGTTCTTTACTTTTCTTTACTTTAATAATTAAATTAATCGTATAAAAAAATTGAATACACATATTAAAATGTGTAAATTTTAAATAAAGGTTAAAAATAAAAAATAAATAAAAAATTTTGAAATAAGAGTTTTATTCAAATATTAAATACATGTGGAAGAAAACAATACAAAATATGCATTATTTTTGTAGCAAAATTTGAAATGCTATTAAATAAGTTATTTTAATGCACAATAGCATACACTATGACATCCAATACAACAAATAATTAATTTAACAAACGACTAAATACTGTAATTGATTTGCAATAATTCATTATAAATTCTTTTACGATTATCAACTCTTTATTTCACAGAAATTGTTGAGTATTGTGCGGAATTCGAATATTTTTTATACAATATGGGTATTCCTTGAAAATTCGGTAACGTGATTAAGTTTTATGTACAAATACTAAGTTTTGGGAAATTAAAACATTACCGAGTTAACGACATACCGATTCACCAGGATTTTTAATTTTTTCGGTGTTCAGTTAAAATATCAACTGATTGTTATTATAATAAAGTGTCGCACAAAATTTAAATATAATTTAAAGTATTAGAAAATATAATAAAGAAAAAAATATTCATAGATATAAAAAAGTAAATAAAAGAACAAGTTTCACCTTTATAGTACTTCTTACATTCATTTTTTCTTGCCATTTTCTAACTTTCATAAATTGACCGAGAAATAGATAGAAAGGACCGTTCAAACATTTATTATTTTATCACTTTAACAATTACCGAGCTATATATAAATATCCATATTGTGTATTCAATTACATGAAAAATAATTCATTTTATAAATGAATATAAAATTAAAATTTTTGTTTTTATTTCTTAACATGAAACACTTATTCATTCACGTTAATATCATAAAACAATATTTTAAAAATGCAAATGAATAATCCCTTTATACCAGCCATCCTTAAAACAGACCCAAAACCCTTTTTTTTCTTATACAGTATAGTCTCGATAGTCTCAACATTGCATTATCTTTTTTGTAATTGCTATAATTCAGATAAAGCCCAAAAACACTACCGCAATAATCTGGACAGCAATATTCTAGTACATCTTTTTTTTTATTTTATTTTTGTAATTACTACAATATATGATTTACATATTTTACGTATATCAGCAATATTAAATTTTTTTCTTTCTTAAGCAATTAATATTAATTTATATATTATATATATATGTACATTTGTAAGTATATTTGTAAGAATGATAGATCGAAAGCTACGCATTTTGCCACCTCTGGTCCAAATTGCTTAGTATTAATATAAAATACTACATTTTTGTGCTGCACTTGATAGGAAATCTATCGGATCTTACGATGTATGAGGTACAAACAAGCATAATAAATATGTTGTTCGATGGGTTATAATGTATAAATGATATTTTGTTTATTATTAAAAAATTAATAAAAATTAAAATGTCTCAGTAGTAGCAACCATAACAGGTATTGATTTGAAAAAGACGCATTAACTAATTAGTCTTATTGTTCATCTTTGAAAATAATATTCAAGAAATAGTAGTTTATTTTGTCTCTTATATTAAATATTTCAGAAATAAAACTTATTTATTTCCGGTTATTTTTTAACTGAAAAGGAACTCGTGCAAGTAACCTTAGGTATCACGTAAGGCACAGATTAAAAGAAACTTCTAATAATAATACTATCGGGAACTAACAGTTTTTTAAAAAATTAATAATAAAAGTTTTCAATTTATTGTATATTTAAAAAAAAAAAAAAATTTTAAATTAACAGTTAATATAAGTATTTAAATAAGAACAATTTAAATTATTTAAAATATCTTTACAATGCAAAAAGACATCTTTTTTTTTAACAGTGCCTGTGATAGGGTCATTGAAAAATTAGTCTTAAATGTAAATTCTGAAAACCCTATGAGTCGTCCGTGTCTCCTACGAAAATATTTTAAAATTTATTTCCCGATATGCGTGTCATTTTATTAAAAAAAAAAAAAAGAAGCTCGTAAAGAAATTCTGACAAGTCGTCAAAATCCATCCCGCTTGTAAAAGAATGAACCTTAAACATAATATTCCTAATAGCCTTTTTAAACAGCACAAGTAATTGTCTAATGTTGAGCCCTTTCCGAGGTAATGCATCTAGGCACTTTTACTCTTTGATAGCTGGGAGGTTTCTGTACTCCTCATAAGCTTCGTGATTATTCAAAGACTGATCTAAGATCTGCTCGTTCGGCGGTCGCTTCGCTAATAACGTGTTCACACAGCAAATCGTAATTTTATCTTAATTGTTTGTTTGTAGTTGTTATAATTTTATTTTTGTAGTTGCGCTCATAGGCAAAAATATTTTTCCACATTACAACAATGTTTTGTTTTGCTTTATTTAAGTTTATAAATATTATTCACAATATTGGTTTAATTTAAGCTTAAATTTGTATAAATCACAATTAAATCATAATTTTCATGGTTGATCGAATCGAACCAGCAAAAGTTTGGCCAACTTGACCCAAATTATCACTATGTTTGTTAAAGTAACGCGGTGACGATGAACGTAGACGTTCAGGGTCGAGGACGTGAACGTGTGGCTGTGTGAATAGGCAATAAATTGCGTTTCTTTAGTTATTCTAAAAAAGTGGATGAACACATTTAATTCGAAATGCAATCAAGAATTTTTAAAGATTACTATAATATAATATAATATAATATGAAGAGGTTGAGTACAAAGAACAAATAACCTAACCGTAAACAAACTGAAGAGAAGCCAAGCAAAAGGGACATGGACCGAAGAAAAATTTATTGAAAAAATGAATTTTAAGTTCATTGAAATTTATGAGCTTGAATTCCACTCGTTCTACGTGGAAAAAGTACAATCCTAAACTACAATCCTTGTTGTTGTAGTTCACCACTATTCGAAAAAGCCTCGTTATTCTACAATAGAAACACTGAGCACTTATTCTCTGCTTTTATGACCGGCCTTTGGTTCTCCACTATGCACCCGTTTATTACTCTATATAATGAAAAATATATACATATATATATTATCATTTCGCTTTTTTGGTTACCTCCAATAAGAGGCACTTAAGTCTCCGTACCCATTGTTATACTCTATCTACCATATATATTCAATCTAACTGTAATGGCCAGGACATGATAGATGTGAAATTTATACAACATATACATATGTTTAGAGATATTTTTGACCAAACAAGACTGAAACCACATTTTCTTGTGACAATAACTCCCAGAAGTTGGATAATGAATCAAATTACTAAGCTAAAATGGTATTCAATTCACCAATTAAATACCACATAGCCGCACTCAGCAACTAACAATGATTTATTTCACATTTCACTAGTTGAAGAAGCACATGGTGAAATCGATGGAACTTTATTTCAGACCAAAAATATATCGTCCGTTATACTTATGACATTTAACTGTTACATATTTAATATTAAATAAAATGGGAACATTCAGAAATTGCTAACTAAACTTCATATTTTAGCATAATAAAGTATTAATATAAGTATAAAGTATGCGACGGCATACAGAAAGAGATATAAATCTGTCTCTATCCTGCATATTTCTCCGCATATTTTTTTTGAAAATAAATCCAGTTTAAGTACCTATACAGTGAATGGAACGTATATATGATAAATTTGGTTCAGTAAGATCTTTCAGTTCATTCAGGCCAAAAATAAATTGAACAGCTTTATAAATTCCTAAGATCTTGATAAAAACTTTTTATAATATGAAATTAAATAAAACTTATGTTAAACTCACATAAGCATGTAGTGTCTATAATATAATATACTAACTTTAAAATTAATTTTAATGCTAACTGACAAATAAATAAATAAATAAATATATAAAAAAATTATATAAAATTTAAAAAAAATCATATAAAATTAAAAAGAAAATTATATACAATTAAAAAAAAATTATATAAAAATAAAAAAAAATAAAAAAAAAATTATATAAGATTAAAAAACAATGATATAAAATTAAAAAAAAATTACATCAAATTAAAAAAAAATTATATAAAATTAAAAAAAAAATTATATAAAATTAAAAAAAAAATTATATAAAATTAAAAAAAAAATTATATAAAATTAAAAGAATTAATGTTAAACTCACATTAGCATATCGTATCTATAATATAATATACTAACTTTAAAATTAATTTTAATTTTAACTCACAAATAAATGATATAAAAAAAATTATAAATTTACAAAAATATATAAAATTGAAAAGAGAATTATATAATATACAAAAATAAAATTTTATAAAATTAAAAGAAAAGTTATATAAATTAGAAAATAAAATTATATAAAATTAAAAAAAATTAATGTTAAATTCACATAAGCATATCGTATTTATAATATAATACATATAATATAAAATACTAACTTTAAAATTAATTTTAATTTTAACTCACAAATAAATAAATAGTACATATAAAAAAAAAAAAATTATATAAAACTAAAAAAAAATTATATAATATTAAAAAATTACATTATATAAAACTAAAGAATGAAATTTTATAATATTAAAAAGAATTATCTAAAATTAAAAGAAAAATTATCTAAAATTAAAAAAAAATTATCCAAAATTAAAAAAAAAATTATATAATTAAAAAAAAATTATATAAAATTAAAAAAAAAATTATGTAAAATTAAAAAAAAAAATTATATAAAATTACAAAAAAAAATTATATAAAATTACAAAAAAAAAATTAAATAAAATTAAAACAAAAGAAATAAATGATAAACTTACATTGGCATATCGTTTCTAATAATAAATTATTATACTTAAAAATTACTTATGTTATTCATAAGTAAAAATAAAAATTACAATAATATGTTCAGTAATATGACTAATACAAGATATATTCACGCAAGCCTTATTGTTATTTTATTATGCTATGTACAAATAATGTATGAATATAAATTTTAATACTATTGTTGCATATATATAAAATTAGTAATTTCAGATCCATTTTTAATGATTAGCGATTATTTTTACTAATATAGATTATTCGTCAATAGAGCAATAAGTCCTTCAAACATCTACACAGTTAGAGTGAAGATAAGTACTTTAATAAATAAATTTTAATTTTATAAAACTCATTAATTTATTTTGAATTTTTACATTTCAACTATTTATATAGGTAAAGGTCCTCATGACTTTGATACACGTTAAATTTATGTTAATCGTTTACTAAATCCATACTAAAAAATTTGTATAAAATGTAGTCTCCAAACTGCTTGTGTCTTCAAACAGAACAATTTTGAGTAGAAAGTAAATAGGTTTTTGCTGGATTTTCATTTTAAAAACTGGATCGTCTTTTATTGTAACCAAAACAAAAGCAAATTCTTTAGAACTAAATTGCAGCATTGGTTCAAAATTGTTTTTGTGAAGATTGTGTTTAAGCTTATTCTCTTCCAATAAGTAGACCAATAAGCGATGATTTTAATAGCACAAAATTCCATTGACATTGTCCGTTTTTTATCCGCCACCTAAACAAAAATAAAATTAATTCGCTACACAAAATATAATATTTCTTAATTACTTACTAGAATCAACCATCACATGTACATTTACATATTTTTCGCACAAACCGTTTAAATATTTTTTTTTTTTTCACTTAATTTGTCGTTCGTTTGTAGTAGCCCGTGTTGAGAGCGGCGGGCGGTACTTAGTCGTCTGTATACAGTAGTGGTGCCGGTTGTTTCCGGACCTTCACTTAATTTGTCGTTCGTTTGTAGTAGCCCGTGTTGAGAGCGGCGGGCGGTACTTAGTCGTCTGTATACAGTAGTGGTGCCGGTTGTTTCCGGACCTTCACTTAATTTGGGCATTCTGAATGCAAATTTTTTGCTAAAATAATCTGCAGTTTTTTTATAGATTTCTTCAGCTTATACTTGTAATTAAACAAAAAATAGAATAAAAATAATAAATAACACAGACCTCTGAGATTTATACAGTATAGTATGTCATATTAAATATGACGAATGTACTACGATATTGAAGAATAAATACAACATACTGTAAATAACCTCACTATATTTACGTTTTTCAAATACATAGTTTATTGTTACTAATAATTTAATATATCGTAGCATCCTCGACACTATGCCAAAACTATTATTAAAATTGTTTCTTAAAAGACTTACCTGCGACGTGCGCGACGACGGCATTCTCTGGCATAATGTCCTCTGCCGCCACATTCGTAACATTTTTCATCCGCATTATAATTGCGTCTTTGACCACCACGACCGCCATTGCTATATTTACCGGTAGATAATTCCACTCGTGCACGACGACCGCACAGTGTTCTGCCATCCAAACCACGCACAGCGTCAGCAGCATCCTGAGCATCTTCAAATTCAACAAATGCAAATCCAGGTGGATTTCGTGCTATCCATATGCTGCGTAAAATTCCATAAGCCCGGAATGCATATTCTAAATCATTTTTTTTGGCATTACTGCCCAAATCACCCACATAAACCTACAGACACAAATTATGTATATGTTATACACAGAAATGCACTTATTAAAATTATATTACCTTGCGGTCACTAGGATAACGAGACATTTTTTTGGACTGCACTCAAACGTTTAAAATGCAAAAAAGAAAGAATAAACAAAAAATTTAGTTTAAAAATATCGATCGCCAAATTAATACACTTCGCCGAAAAAAGCTTAAGATTTACAACCAAACCAAAGCAAAATTACCATTTTTCCTTTATGTTGCTAACCACAATTTTAATCCAATATTTGCGGTCTATTTATCAAGAAATACACAAATATTTTAAACGCAATTTTAACCACTAAACAAATTAGTTCAAATCACTGAAACAACTTAAAAAACACCAAACAAAAGCATCTTTCATGCAAAATGTAATGCCACCTATCCTAAATCAAGGATAATGTGTTTACTGCACATAAACAGTAGATGACGCTGCTGAATATTTTTACATACAATCGTATGAGTCCTTCACGGTAAAATTGCAACATCACAGAACCATTTCAGTGCAATAAGATAAGAACCATTACAGCAATATTTCATTTTAAAAAGCAATTAAAACTATTAATTATTATTATAGATATTTGCATGTCTGTATGTATATAAATGAAGCAAACTTTAAATGGCGGCATAGGTACTCAATTCGCTGTTGATTTAAATGTAGCTAAATTTATACATATATGTATGTAATTATGGCCGTGTGCGAGTTTAAGTAAATTGAGGTAAAATAAATTGAAATTTCCTAGAGGTTTTTGCACTGCACTAAATATATACATTAATACTTATTTATTTATTTGTTACACTTATTTATTATTTTTGGTTAAAAGTTTTCAAATTTTTTAATTTATTTATTAAACATCTTAAAACATGTTCACAATGGTAAAACCTAATATACCTAATTTTTATCTAATTTACCCTACTCGAAATTCTGGTAAATACTAACATTCGCTACCATACCGACCGACATAATTTACTATTTTCCGCAATTTACCATCAATTTATTCGAATTCGCACACAGCCTATATTATACATATAATGTACAACAGTGGCGCAAAAATGATTAAAGATTATATATATTGCCTTAAAAGTGCATACATTATTCAGAACAATACTACTCGGTAGCGTTTCATGTATCTACACCATGAAGTATCATCTTCGGATGAGATTGTTTAAAATTCTGGACCATACATTATAAATACAACAATAGTTTAGTATTACTTTATTAAATTATCTTTAAATTCATAAAAAATAATTAATATATAGTTTTTTTCTCTTCTGTGCTTTCTTAGCCTAAGTGGTTTATTTCTTATTAACAAATATTATTGTTTCTTGTTAGTTTAAATTAAAAAATCAGTTTCGAACTATATTGGTACTTAAAGATAACATGATGCTTATAAGACAGGTTATGCCCTTATTGGAGTCTTATATTCCAATAAGGAATCTTAAATAGACAAAAGCGATTATTTTTTCTTATATGATTGATTTTATATTAGGTCTGTTCCACGAGCCACTCGTAGTAACTTTGGGTAACACTGTGTATATAGAAGTGCGTTTCACTAGCAAATTTTTGAGTAAATGAGTGCATTTGAGAGAGCGTAACATCCCTGTCAAAATTTGAAAATGCTACACAGATTTCACTCGTACATTTTATTTCAAGTGAAATTTGTGTTGATATGTGAATCAGCTGTTTTGGTTTGAATTTAAATTTTTGTATTGTTTATTTGCGCGGCATTGGTGTTCTCATCATATTTTACACAAAGCTATTCTATGAAAATCTGTGTAAAGAGCGTAATTTGGCACTTTATTTGCTCTTAGTTTATACTTTACTTATGGTTTACCTGAGTTTTACTACGCGTAGCTTCTGGAACAGACCTATATTATGTCTTAATAGATAATATCTGCGTTATCAATAGTCCCGTATACAACAGGAACGTCCTACTGCAGCCATATTTCTTAAACATTGTGATTGTTTATTTAAAGTAAAATTTTTAAAAGCTATTATGAAAAAGTAAAAAAAGTGTGGTTAACATATGTTATATATTAAGGTTTTCTTGAAACAGCAGAGAGTGGGATAAAATGTTAAAAAGTGTACTATTCCATCATAATCAGGAGGCCTGTTACCCTTTACCCTTTATAAATAGACAGCAATGAAAATAAATTGCCATTTCGTACTTCCTGAATTAAACTTGAATTTTTGCAAGTAATGGGTGTGTTTTCAAGTATTTACCAACAAAAACTTGTAATAAAATTTTGTAAATTCATGCATAAACTGGAAAATATATATTAAGTGTAGTATATATATAATATAAATTTTTTAATGCAAAAAAAAAACGAAATAGTTTTATCATGCTTATTTTGTTAAATTTTTTCAAATAAATATTTAGTAAACTGATGTTAAATTGAGGGAAATAGTAAATTATGTCGGTATGGCAGCGAATGTTAGTATTTACCAGAATTTCGAGTAGGACAAATTATATAAAAATTAAATTTAAAAAATTAGGTAAATGAGGTGTTACCATTGTGAAAACTTTATAAGATGTTTAATAAATAAATAAATTTGAAAACTTTCAACCAAAAATAATAAATCAGTGCAATAAAAAATTAAATAAATATTTACATAAGTGCAGTGCAAAAAATACCTACAAAATTTCAATTTACTCGAACTCGCACATCTAATTTACTCTACTCGAAATTCTGGTAAATACTAATATTCCCTGCCATACCGACTATTACTATTTCCCTCAATTTACCAGCAATTTACTCGAACTCGCACACGGCCTTAGAAATCGAAATGTGTTAAAGTGTTTACATAATTTAATAATTATCTTAAAATTAATATTAAATTATTAATAATTTAATAATAATTTTGTAGTATTTAAGAAATTGGTTTTCTTTTTAATTTTTATGTGCAAGTGAAACTAAATAGATCGCGATTAATCACATCACATGGTTTATCAAATTAACTTGCCATCGGATAATGCAAAACATATTTTGCCTAGGAGCTACACGAACATATTTTTGACAAGTTCGATTTATAGTGCTTTCACTTTTTCACTGAAAGCAGTCACGCAAGAAATGACATTGCTATTATGGTAATTTGGTTGCAAGGTCCATACACATACAGAATTTCAATGTTATTTTGCTAGTGAAGAACTTTTTTTTTTAATTACTTGCGAAAAGTGGTATGCATATATGGAAAAATTGTATATATCACAATCATAATGTTTCATGCTTATTTCAATTTATTAAAAAAAATAACATGTATATTATTTTTTACAACTCGCTTAGCGATAGCTTTTATACTTGTGTAAATGCACAAGTTTTTATAAATTTTGAAGTTAAAATCAGATGATATTTTTTAATTCAAGTCATTTGTTAACTATATTATCACGGTTCGTGAATAGAGGCCTTATAGTTTATTTATACATTGTTGGCGGTTTTCGAGTGAAAATGTCCAACTTTAATATTGGATTCCCACAAGAGTTTTGTTTGTGATTTTAGCTTGCAATTGTTGCTGCTTTCAATGCAAAATTAAATTTTTGACAGCTAAAACTACAAACAAAACTCTAGTGTGAATTCAGTATGATAGCATGATATAGACGATGCTACATGTATGCAAAATAAGTATGCTATGCTACCAAATCGCGCTGTATATATCCAAGTATTTATACCAGATTTCGGTCTGCAGGCATTTATGTAGTAAAATTACATCTTGTTTCAAAGTGTGTAGCAAATCGCATACTTGGTGTGCATACACGTGCCAACATCTATATCATGCTTTAAGGCTGGAAATTTTTACACGAAAACCGTTAACAATAAGTGGACACGCAAGATGGCGTTGTAATTAATTACCCGTTCTATGTGTAATAAACGTAAAAACTGCATATACTAGTTGGCACTAGATGGCATGCATAGTTTCTGTTACTGTAATCAAAAGTTAATAATCGTAAACGTTAATATCTTGAGAAGTTAGCTTCATCGACAAAGTGCATAGTGAAAGAAATTCCTCAAAATAGCTGATACTACTAAAATCTTTTGTTGAATTGGTGTGCATGAAGAATAAGAATTGCGCCCAATTTTTCATTGTCATGTTAACTTTTGTTCGAAATTTGTTTTCGCAGAGTTGTATTCGAATTTTGCTTTCTTTATATTTCCGTTTATATTTCCAGTCTTCGTATATTTTTCCATTCTGAATTAAATTTAGCACAAAAAATGGGCAAGACTTATATAAAAAAATTTTACAGGACTTGTCTATCATTATGCATATCAATTAAAGTTTAATTTCTAAGTTGTTTAAATTATTATTAAGAATTGTAAAAACTGAATATATATCTTAATTACTTTTTTAACTTAATATTATTATAATTATTATCATTTGGCAAAGAAATATAGTAATTATATTAATTGTTAATATAATATTTACAATAATAGTTCTGATATTTCACATCATATTAATTATATATATTGCAGGTTCATATAATTACATACTCTTGATATAAATAAAATATTAAAATTATTAATAGAAAATAAGGCGACCACAGTGAACAAAATAAATTTTATTTTCAAATTCGCAATCTTGCTTTCCCTCTATTTCTTTGTGTTTTCATAAAATTATATTTTGTACATACAACTCACATATTAAATATGTATATTAAAAGTTTATTCAAAACAGTGTATTATTAAGAAAATGTGATCAAATATTAAGCTTATTTATTTTACCAGGGACTCTTACAATTTCGATTGTAAATAGGTCATTTCCTATAATAAAAATGAAACTTAGTATAATACATTATATATACCAGTTAATATTAAAATGTATACGTTAAAAGCATATGAAATGTATGTTCTTTTAGTTTATTTAAACGTTCAGTTTATATCAAGTGTATAATATTATTTTCATGTAATATGCTAGATAAACATTTATCCAGCCATTTGGATGGACGGACGGTTTATGAAGTTTGACATATTTATGAACTCTATAATGTTACATTTCGAAAAAAAGTTTGTTTCAATAACTTTTTGTACGTTTAGATTTATGTACAATATGTTATATTTGGATATTGTTACATATATTCATAAAATTTTTAAAATTTTCAATATACCAGAAATGATACAACTCTACATCATTGTGAAAAACTGAATATTTTAAACTCACCACCATACTAATAAACGTGGCATGCTGTTAAATTTGCCCCTGCACGTAATATAAAAGAAAGAAATAAACATATATGCGTCAAATGTAGTTTGTACTTTATCACCTATGTGTGGGGAAATTAATGGTAGTAGGCGGCAGTGTTGTTTAAATATTTCAAAAATAGTACCATAAATTTGATATAAAATTTTCTTTTATTATAAAAGTTAACATATTTGTTTAAATTAAAAATATTGATTTGTCTATTTTAATAAAATGACTTATTAAAATTAGTGGTTCATTTTGATAATTATTTCATTTTGCACAATATATGAATTATGTTGAAACGCATATTAAGTTTTTAGTGAATTGAATGACAAAATTGCAAATTATTAATGTAAGTACTTTTTGTTTGTATGTAATTATTTTATAGTTATTGCTGATAAGAATGAGAGAGAATGTGAATTAATGTTAGGAATATGGATTACTTAGTTTTTTAAAATAGTCCTTAGTGGCGATTATAAAATAGCCACTAATAATAAAATTTTTTCATCCTTTGTTTATAACATCTGACATTCTGGCACTCGGGAATTTATTTTACTTACAGTAAATATTTAATGTTTTTAATGCAAACCATTAGATGTAAAATATTTATTTCATGATCTAATTAGCTGTATTACTTTGTATAAACTTTATTAATAATGAACATAAGATGAAAATTTCTCATCGTACTACATAATCAATGAATTTTCAATTGAAAAAAATATTTAAATTTATCCCGATAGTACCGATAACCAGTAATAACAGTATTATGTTTATATTTGGGCAGTACAAGTTAAATAGATTACTTTCATAGTGCCATAACTTACCATAGCGCTATTTTAGTAGGTATATTTTCATTGCTACTAAAATAGCGCTGCGTTAAATAACGCTAAATAAATAGCCACGGCCTATGATCCTCCTAGGAGATTTGTTTTATAGAAATTTATGTATATACATAAAAATGTATATACATATGTATATACATAAAAATGTATATACATATGTATATACATATACATAAAAAGCCGTATATATTTTCATTATGTAATTAATAATTTTTTTGAGAAATTATTTAAAAATATTGTGACTTTGCAAATGTATATTAATAAACTGATAATTACAACAAATGTTGATATAACAAAAATTATAAACGACCATATTATTTTCTTTTATTTAGAGTCAGTTTGACAATATTTTCTTAAGACATATATATTAAGTGGAGTCTGATTTAATCGTTATGTCTAATACTAATATCCGTTTCGCATGAAAAATTGACAGAAAATTTTATGTAAAAGTTTTCTAAAATGTCAAAATTGTCCAGACATTTTCTTTATTTTTTTAATATATTTTATGTCAATTTTTTCTTTGAAATTGATGTTAGTATTTAACTGTTGTCATTAGCTGTTAGAGAGATATGTTTTTATTATATTTATATTTCTATATATATTGGACTTTACAACACGTTAAGGTGTTTTAACAACATGCAACCCATTTTCATATTCACGAATTTCACCATACTTGCAGAGTTCACCACTGCATGCGAGCTAATCGGCCACCACTTAACTTCTCGAAATCATTTTTATCATGGTTAAGTTAGGTTATATCGTATGCATCAAATCATACAATTATTTATAGGCTAGTTTTTTAAGGAAATACCTAAATTTAGTGATTTTGCAGTGCGAAAACTTTAATAATCTGTCGGACGAACACTTGGTGAAAGCGGTGAGAATGAATTTTTTAATTATTAAATTTATATAACATTTGTGCGTGTGAAAACGTTTATAATTAAATTTTAATGGCGATCGGCAAAAATTGCAAACAGCGGTGAACGTGAAAAAAAACAGGTTTTATTGCAGTTTCGTCCACTCTTTCTTTTTTTTTTAAAGACTGAACTTTTCCTTAAAAACGTGATTTTTTGCTAAAATTAATACAATTATTTTTATTTTAAAGAATATTTTCTTTAAAAAATTTTTTACATGAAAATTCTGTGTATCCACACGAGTTACACACAATTACACTAATACGTATACACATCTGTGACTGTGTGCGTACATATGCCCTCTTGTGCCTGCCAATGCCTACACACAATTCCAAAACAAATGCGTAAAAAAGACAAAGAAAGAATTTAGCAGTTCCCAGATTCTATATAATAACGTTGGATCCAAAGACCCGTTGTTATTAGACTCCAGGGATTGTGCCTGCATTACTCAGCAATTCTTGAAGCATTTAATTTGTGTTTGTATTGTTGTATTGTTTTATTAAAAGTTGGAGCCAGATTTTTTGAAAATTTTTTTATGTATTACGAGTTTTCTATTGTTTTTATTGAATAACATTATTTCATACTCCATACATATTGGTTTAATATCTGTATTAAATTGTATGTTCTGTTTTTAGCATTCCTTAGACTTCCATTTTGTTTTTTTTATTACATGTGTCTGCCGCTTACTACTATGGTGAAAAGTTTTGCTGCATGTATTTTATGCACGTATTTGTCGAAGTGGAGAGATTGTTGTTACCCTAGTAAATGTGTAGATTGGTTTTAAAATACTTTTGGTTAATTTAAAGTGACCTGTTTTGAACTAAAAATTAGTTTGTTTTCATAAAAAGATGTTTGAAATTATTGTTTGAATTTTTAAACTTAAAAATATTTAATTGAAGTTGCTAAGACATGTGTATTAACATTTTTTAATATCGAAATTGTTAAGTTTATGTCTTAACTTGAATTGCATATTACCAGTATTGAAAAATGATTGGAAAGATGTATAAAAATGGAAAAAGAGTTAATTCATTAAAAGTGCTATAAGCTCGAAAAATACAGTGTCTGATTGAATAACTGTTTAGTAAATTATAAATATGATGTATTTACAGCATATCTTATTTTAAATAATAGTTGATATATATTGAGTGATAACAATTTAACAATAACAGCGATAATTGAATTGCTAAAAACGAGTGTATATTTACAATAATAAATGTGGTGTTTTGTTATGATGACTTAAATCCATGGTTTTCACATTAGTTATTTTGGAAGCCTTAATTTAACATTTTGTTAAAGTTAATGTGTTTGCATCAAGTGTTAGTCATACATTATGGTAAAACATAAGTTTTCTTTACTACTTTTGAATAAAGAATTAACTTGTATGTGATGTAAATAGAAACAATATATGAAAGTGAATTCAGCTAGAAATGTTTACGAAAAAGATAAGGTGGCAGCATTATTTATTTCAATTTCACCTTTCATCATATTTCGTGGTAATTTTTTATGACCGGCATTTTTTTTTTTTCTTATATTTTTGCTTTTTAAATTCGCTTGATAAGTTCGTTGTTCCCATATTTGCCATCTTTGTCTCAATAAAGAAGATAATTAAAAGAAAATGAAAATAGTGTACGCATACCTGTGTACAAATATTTCTGTAGGTTTTGTATGTTTCGTGTATGATAAATGATGTATGTGTGTGTGTTTGTGTGTATGATCAACCATTTTTAATATATTTATTTAACGTATAGTCTTCTTTTTCTTTCTTTTTCATTTCAATCCTTTTCGACGTTCGTTGTCGGCGTTATTTATATTTAGAAAGTTACGTGTAGACGTCGTGGCTTAAGTTTTCATTGCAAATACGCTGAAATATCGTGGACAATTTGAGCAGAAAGGCTCATTTACATATTAAAATAAGTCTATACCTGCTTTTAAAAATTTAGTAGAACTAAACCATCTTTATAATCTTAATTGAAATAAGCATAGAAATACTGATAGCACCTGCAGAAAATAAGCAAACGTCAACTAGGCAACAAGGAGAACACACGACTCTTCTGTTTGCTCTAAGAGGTTATCTTGCTAAATATTATCAAAATTACTGCAATTAAGAAGAGCCCGCAAAAAATTATGGAGGAGGACGAGAGGGGCAAGTTGTTTGTTGGTGGTTTATCATGGGAGACAACACAGGAGAATTTGTCGAGCTATTTTTGCCGCTTTGGAAAAATAATTGATTGCGTTGTTATGAAAAACAATGAAAGCGGACGTTCCCGCGGTTTTGGTTTTGTGACTTTTGCAGATCCGAACAACGTCGTCCAGGTGCTACAAAGTGGACCACACACACTTGATGGTCGTACGATCGATCCGAAACCATGCAATCCACGCACTCTTCAAAAACCAAAAAAGGGTGGTGGTTATAAGGTATTCCTTGGTGGATTACCATCAAATGTAACGGAAACTGATTTACGCACGTTTTTTGGACGATACGGTAAAGTAACTGAAGTAGTTATTATGTACGATCAAGAAAAGAAGAAATCACGCGGTTTTGGATTTTTGTCGTTTGAAGAAGAATCATCGGTGGAACATGTTACCAATGAGCGATATATTAATCTTAACGGCAAACAAGTAAGTTTGATAAAAGTACTAATAAAAACAATAAAATATATATATACTTATATATATATATTTAATTTATATATAATTACTAAATATGTAAATAAGCATTCCTAAACGAATGCTTTGTGTGTGTGAAAATAAGAAAATGACTTAATGAGAAAATTAATGCAATTATTTAAAATGCATATAAATTGATATTGTGTTATAACGAAAAGTTCTATTTAATATTTTTCACAAATAGTGTTTTCTTGCATTAAACATTTCTGCTTTTGATTCAATTACTTATCATTTTATAGGTAGAAATTAAGAAAGCAGAACCACGTGACGGGTCTAGCGGCCAAAATGCTAATAATAGTGCTGTAGGTGGAGCTTATGGTAAGCTAGGTAACGAATGCAGTCATTGGGGTCCACACCATGGACCTATAAATATGATGCAAGGTCAGAATGGTCAAATGGGTGGCCCTCCACTTAATATGCCTATTGGTGCACCAAACATGATGCCTGGTTATCAAGGTTGGGGTACCTCACCACAACAACAGGGTTACGGATATGGTAATAGTGGTCCTGGGTCTTACCAAGGTTGGGGTGCTCCACCAGGTCCACAAGGTCCACCGCCACAATGGTCCAATTATGCTGGTCCACAACAAACTCAAGGTTATGGCGGTTATGATATGTATAACTCGACTTCAACTGGTGGTCCTTCTGGCCCATCAGGCGGTGGCAGCTGGAATTCATGGAACATGCCACCAAATTCTGCTGGCCCAACTGGTGCACCAGGCGCTGGTGCCGGTACCGCCACTGATATGTATTCGCGGGCCCAAACTTGGGCTGCCGGCGGCCCCTCGACCACAGGTCCAGTTGGTAATATACAACGTACTGGCCCTGGTAATTCAGCTTCGAAATCGGGCTCCGAATATGATTATGGCGGTTACGGTTCTGGTTATGACTATGATTATAGTAATTATGCAAAGCAGGATGCAGGAGCATCTAATTACGGCGCTGGACCACGATCTGCGTATGGCAATGACAGCTCAACACAGCCACCTTACGCTGCTTCGCAGGCCGTCTAAGACGTCTACTATAAACATAAGGTGAAGCAAAGTTATATGTTAAGATACGTCTATTCGTTCTGTTGTTGAAATTAAATATTAATTCTATATAATAAAACCATTATTAAAAGTTAAATAACGTTTAGGTATATGTATATATATATATATCTATGTATATATATAAAATATATTTATATGTATTTATATATATATATATATATGTATGATATATATAAATATATGTATATGAAAACATATATATATATATATATATATATGTATATATATGTATTAATATCAATATATATGTAAAATTTTATAAACAAACAATATATACAAACAAAACTAAAACAGAAAAATAAGAAGTAAATTCAAAGATATATAAAACCTTGATTAATAATAAAGATTAGTTAATTTTACATAACAAACTGCTATAGATATATATTAGGATAAAATACAAATTAACTGAAAACACAATATCTAAGATGGAAAAGGTTTGGGTAAAGTTAAATCATTTGAGCACGAAAAAGATAAACTATAAATAAAAATTAGTGTTGAGCGAGCACACACCCGCGCCCATGCAGTTTTATTTCATACAAAAGTCTTAACATCATAGATGTCCAGACTTTTCCAATCGTGTGGTGTGTTTGTTTGTGGTCTAATTTTGTTTAAAATGTGTCTTTAGTGCTCCTATGTTTACAACTTGAAAATATTTAAACAACAAATTAAATTTTAACTTAGAAAATAATAAAAACAGAAAATACTTAACAAATGAATTTGTAAATTTTAAAGTTTAATTATCTACTATTGTACTATTGAGTTAGAGAAATATTTAGGTGTACAATTATTAGTTACAGCATGTTGCAGTATATAAATGCATTATATATTTCATCTGCGAAAAATTAAAGTACGACAAACAAAAACCAAAATATAAATTTTCATGCTTTTATTATTTTTATAAATAAATAAACATATATAAATATATACTTTTTTTATATAAATTGGTATTCAAAACGCAATTAATATATATATACATATATGAAAATCCTTATATATATATATTGTTGAGATTAACTAGTTTTAATTGATTGAACATTATTATTTATGCGCTATATATGGCATTTAAGTTTATAGTTACAAAATTAAATAGCAAAATAAACATAAACACCTGTTCTTAACAATTCAAATTAAAATTATTTCACATTATTTGATTTGACATTATTTTGATAAATGTCCTCACACCGCTAGCAGCAATTTACTTCTTAATTTGTCAATTTCTGTTTTAAATTCAAATTTCCTAATTGCATACATTCTTTTTATTTTTCTTTAAGTTTAATAAAACGTTACATATACACATACATATGCGTATGATAAGTGTGTTATTTGTTTAAAAAAAAATGAATTTATATACATACATATGCATAGAAATTTTATATATGAATATGTATATATATGAATGCTTTTGTAGATATATATATATATATATATATATAAGTGTTTCTATACATGACTATGTAGATGTTTGTATTTATTTGATGATATATGCATTCATAACTGTACTATTTACTTCGATAACTACTATTTTTAATTTGGTAAAATGCTTTAGATATAAAACTATAAATACGATTACGATTACTCTTAACTCATACTATTATTTTTATTTATGCAAATTCTTAATCTTAAAGTATAAATAAAGGCAGATTTTAAAATATATGACTTGGAAATAGTGCACCATTTTTGTGTGTATGTATAGTAAAGGGATAGCTTTTCATTAATTTTACTTTATATTTAATAATGTAATTTACTTTATTTCTTTTCGTTAGCGAAGTTCAATGGCCGTAGTTTTTAATGCTTACTATTCATATTGTTTTTTTTTTTTTTTTTTGGTTTCTTTAATAATTTTATAATATTTAAACTTTGTATACATAGACTTCTATTCTATTAAATTTTAAATTCACAAGAGAAATACATTAAACTAAGATCTTACACTCTTAAAGATAACTTAAAAAAAATGTAAAATATATGCATACATTCGCTAAATTTTTTGTATTTAAAATCAAATATTTTATTTTGAAAGCGAGCAGAATTCATGAAAAAAAATTATTTTATGTTCTTTAAGGAATAATTGAAATTACGCAGGTAATACAATACGATAATTCTATATAACTTTGAACTAAACGTTTTGTGCAAGTACTACATACATTTTGTAAACAAAAGATAATACAGTAATAAGTTCGTAATAAGATCGTGAACTACAAAACATATATATATATATATAAATAAATAAATAAATATATTAAAATATTAAAATACAAATCAATTTAACAAAACAAAAACAAAAAAAAACGAAAAATCACAAAGAAAATTAATTGTTGCAACTTGACGGTGAGAAAAAAAAATGAAAAAATATAAAAATACCAGTTAAATGTTGAACAAAACACCTGATTTTATGTTAAATTAATATTAACGATAATAATAAAATTAAATTTACAATTACACAACTTACCATTTAAATTATAATACTAAATTTACAATTAAAGTTAAATATTTAATATAAACATAACGTAACGTAATTAATAGAAAGTTAAAATAATTAAATATAAAGAGAAATAAATAGCATTAAAATTTTAAATTAAACGTAAAGTACATTTAAAAATTTATTTATGTAACAAAACGATTTAAAGTAAAACAAAAACTGACTGTTAATTGTAAAACAATTTTTCTTTAATGATTTTTAATTTAAAATTTTAATTAATAACTTAATATAAATATAAAATACGTATATATATCTAAAATACAAAAAGGAAAAAAAATGAATAAAAGTCGTAAAAAAAAAACACAACAAAAAATGAAACACTTATTCTCTTTTGGTATAAATAAAAGAAATAAATTTATTTTTAACTGATTTTTTTTATTAAATTCATATATAAAAGAATAATTAGAATTAGAAACAACTTTGAATAAAAAAAAGCCTTATACTTTAATCTTTGCTTTTCATACATATGCGAAAAGAAAATATAAACAAATTTTGTACAACAAGCAAAGCAAATGTGTTTTAAACAACAATAACAACAACAACAATACTGAACAAGAAAAAGTTGTAAAGGATCGAAAGCATTAATTTATTTGAATGTATGTGTTCAACAAACAAGAGCAACAAAGAAAATTTAATTACACATTTCTTTTTTATACATTTTATACAAGAAAAAATAAAAAACAATGCGAAAAGCAATGAAGTCAATATATGTCAAAGTGGTGAAGATTTGTTGAAAAATATTTCTGTACTCATTATTCAATGAGTTGCAGCAAGAAAATATGATGCTTTTGATATTTGTTTGTTTGTCTTGATTTTTTATTATCGTACTTCTTTAGTTTTTAATAATTTTTAAAATAAATTTACCTTATAAAATATTTAAAATCTGTTTATTTTAAATGTTAAATATTCTTCATTTTTATGTGTCTGCGCGGCGCACATGCAAAATACAATTTCATATAGAAAGGTTTTTTTTTTGTTTTTCTGAGTGTCAACTATCATTTTATTCGTTATATTATATTGTTTCCCTTGTTTATTGAGTTTCATGTTAACATTCTTTGCTTTGAATATTTCACATGCAAAAACTATTAAACACGAGCGTTTATTTGTTTAAGTTTACGTATCAGTGCATTGACATTAGTCATAACGGTTATGTTTCAATGCACATTCGTGTTGCACTCCAATTCCAACGAATTCCAAATTTCTTCAGTTGTGTTTAGTCTAGTTTATTGCAGCAGCATGTTTACACCAACACAATCCGACATGTTTAGCAAGCAATAAATGTTATTTATTATAAAAAAAAAAAACAAATAATGAGGTTCCACAACTATAAATGTGAACATAATAATACAATAATTTTTTTTTTTATGAAAATGAGAGTATTGCTGCTGCATAAGCAAATTATGTGGATATTGAACAATTTTGTATTTATAATGTTACTGAATTTAGTTTAATTTTAATAAAAGGTCTAACATAAAAAGCTAGTCATTTAACTACTTTTTACTCTTGTATCGTTTTTCTTTTGTATATTTTCTATAATATTTAGACTTTAGTTTAATTATTAAAATATACAATTGAACACGTTAGGATTCTGATATAAAACAGCTCGTTAATAAATTACGTTTTGTAATTTGTATATTTCAAATTACATTTTATTAATTTCAAATATTTTAAAATATTGTTGGTTTTACTCTCGTATATTGTCGTATACTAGTGCAATAATAGAGCGAGCTATTCACGATCCCGAGTAACAAGCTCGATAATCTGGTAACAAAAAGCTTTACACTATAGCTTTTTTACTGAGTTCGCAGTTTACCAAGATTGTGAATATCAATAATTTTTTTATTTGTTTGTTTTATGAACTAAAATGTAAACACAACTAATGAATCTGTAGATACAGATAAATAGTGAAATTTCTGTTTGAATATTTTTTTCTTTGCATGTTCTTCGTAATATTGATAAATAACGAAATGGACGCAGAAGCAGGCGGGATAGGTAGTTAATACAACAGTTAATTTGATTGATTTTTTTTTTCGTCTATTTTTGTCTATTTTATTTTGTGCTAATTATTGCTAATTCTTTATGTGTTTGTTTTATTATCAATTATTAATATAATCACCAACTGAGATACAATTCGTTTGTTGCTGAAGCATTAACCTAATAGTGCGGAAGACTGTAGTCCTCTGTTATCAATTACAATTAAAACAATTTTTATCACGTAAATTATATTAAATTAATTTTCTCAGTTTTCCAAATTTCAATATAAAGTTGCCATTTCCTTGTATATATGATGTACATATACTCAACATTTTCTTATCTTATACTAACTTATAAATATATTAATTTCAAAAGAAACTTTCATTGTAGCAAAATAGTCAATATAGCGTAACATTCATATTACATCAAAAATAACAAATTTCACATTACAAAGTAATATGTTGGCTGGTTACACGTTGACATTAGATGAACATTGGCATTATGGTTTTCATTTGAGCATTTTTGTGCAGTC